CCAGATTGAAGTTAGACATTTAAACTAACGTTTACAAAGAAAAAAAATTAAAAAATCTCAAAAATCGTCCGACTTATTTTGGAAAACGTATTTTCAAATAAATGTTAATAAAATCAGGAAGGTGTCATAATTTCGTAAATGGGCCAGCCCCCCAGGGGAATAGTCCAGGCAATTTCATGTAATTTGCATATTTTGTTTACATCGCGCACGTGACAAAATTCACACGTGGAAGTTATCTGCTCATGAAAAGCCTTTTCTCATGGTTTAAGAACATAACTCAAAATTACAGGAGTCCTTGGGTAAAGAAAAGGAAAAAATCAGGCCCAAAGAAGAGAGAAATGACAGCATTTTGTCAAAAGAAAAAAAAAAAAAAAACTTTGTTGAAAGCGACAAAGGCTCTTGGTTTGTCCAAGAGCCTTGGACAACTCGGCATCTGCTGAAGATCGGCAGCATTCGATTATCCTTAGGGCAAGCAGCTTAAAAATTGAAGTCAACAGCACAGAAGGTTGTAAACAAGATTCTTCGTCAGAATCTGACGAAACCAATGGAGAAAAAGAAGAACGCGACAGATTTACCCTTTCCACCGCGGGTTTTTTCTACGCCGACTTTGTCCATAACTAAGCGATCAATAGAGCGAGATAAAAAAGCCTGACTGCTACGCGATACTTTTCCCGGGAATATCTTGATCCATTGCCATTGACGCTGGGAGGTCTCGTCCTCTAATTGGTTAGCGGTTTCAGGAGGCGAGATAATAGGTCCTGGTGTGGCGCTAATTGTTTACAAATCTTAGGAGCTAAAACCTCGCACTTGATTTTGAGAGGATCACATCCACTTTGAGCGAATTTATAGGGTATGTAGATTTGACCGATTTTCGTGGAATTTCGCCAACACATTCGTGAGATAACGACAAACAAAAGTGTCGTATATGAGCACGATCCTGCTGTCAAGTGTGTCAGCAAATTTGATATTTGAAATATTTTTTACGTGGTGTCCATTTATGCAACACGCTTCGCATATTTTTTGCTACTCTAACTTGAGATGCAAATATCTAGACAATTAATCAGAATATCGGAAAAGCCTGACACAGTTTGGTTGATTGATGCCTTGTGAATAACACTGTGCAGCCATTTTTCTCGTGCGGTGGGATCCGATACCCAATAAATTCAATAGAAGGTCCCTCGGTCGTTTCACGCCTTTCCGACTCCTGACACTTGCTACATGAAAAAATGACCTAAATTATGATTATTTTAATCGTAAACTGTATTTAATAAATTTTGTTTTGGTGTATAGTTTGCTATGGTTTTCTTCAATCTAGCGCGCGTACGAATTTTTTCCCGAAGGACACCCGCGAAGGTAGGAAGCAACCTTAAAAACGAGTGTAAGCTTATGGGGAGAAAGACAGGCGCTGCAGGAGATGTGAAATTCAAAGGGTGGTATTGCCCTTCACAAGCCGCGTTTACACAATTCTAATTTATTCTCTTGAAGTTCTGTTTCTTACCACAGCATTGCATAGAAATAAATAACAACAAAACGCGGTTTGATCGATCTCATTTGTTAAATCAAGTGTTGATTTAAAGTAGTCTTAACCTTGCTCGATCAACTGAAATAACCGAGCAGATAACACAAATGCAACAAATGTTGTAATGAACGTTCACACACGAAGGAGATGCCACGTAAAATTTAATTGTTCAGACAACGGAAATCGATGGGTAACGAAAAATATTGTGTCAGCCAGAAACATAGATGACTTCGTTACCTACCAGTGTGAATTTTGCAAGTGAGGGTTTCGCTCTTCTTCCTCGATTTCCACATCCTCTTCTTTTCCCGAAGAGCTTCGAGTGCTTCGAGCTTCATCAGATGAAACAGTCTTTACACACGGTTCGAATGATACGGCTATATCCCATACCTTCCTACTGCATTCTCTTCAAAATCATTGGAAGTCGAGCAAGATTCGGGAGACAAAGAAGATATAATGTGGTGCTGACTTGATACTACCTATTGCGGATTTTTGATTGAATTTTAAGCCCATTTCAACATAGCAATTCTGGGGGGTAACCGGGGGTCGGAGTCTCCCGCTTCCCGTGCCACGTTCTCCCACCTCCCGTACTTATGTGCCTCCTTGCCTCCCGACTCCCGCCCTCCATTGTGTTGCTCCTGTCTTCAGGTTTATCAAGAGGATGGGGATCATCAGTTCCCGATCAAAGCTACTACTGGCCATTTTTCCTACTAAACTAAGTTTCACTAATCGGGTTATCACAGTTTGATCGTCTCTTCTTACATCTCGTCAAAGAGACGAAAGTCTCAGCTTACTATGTGATGTAATAGCTATTGCCAATTCAAAGTGAAATGAGAAATCAAGAGGTAGACGTAAAGTTTAGAGTTTGCTTCTTCTGTATTCGTGCTTTTCCCCCTTTTTCACGTAAGTAGCACTAAGTATTCGTAGTTAATACATCGNAAATCACATTCCTCTCGGCAGTCTGAAAGGATCTGGCAAAATCTTTCTTCAGTTAGCTCTAAAAGACCGTTGAATAATCGTATCGAATCTTTATCAATTTCACAAATAACGTCACTTTTCTTGCATTTTGCTTCTTCGCTAGATATTTCGAAGAGAAAACAGCTTTCATCTATTATGACATATGCTGTACCAAAGAAATAATTTGCGTCTATCGCAGGTGAAATGAAGATAGAGAAAAAGTTGGATTTGCATTTGATTGCATAAATTCCAGTATGTGATGACTGATTCGTCTTATAATCATACCCAGGCAAGGGTACGGGCTCTACATCGCTTCTATAGTTAGTACCTGATGGATGTACAGGTGTATCTGCCTACTTTTCAGAACTCACAGCCTTAAATAGCTCCTGCATTGATGTAAGAGCTTGTTCCTCGGTGCTGTCGTATGCATCCACTGAAGTGTACATATAGATGGGGAGAGTGCCAGCTTTGTCTTTCGTGAAAGAATTTCGTACGGACTGTTGCCTGAACCCTCGTCCAGATTCATTTCTCCAATCGTGAAGGCGTTTGATGTCCTATTTATTCAGAAACGTAGTTGGCTCTCGTGGCACGGGAAGTAAGTCTTCGTACTTGACTGAAAGCTGTGATGGTAGCTAATAGTGTTGTTTCTCCCGAGTGAAGCAAATATAACCAGGCAAAGCAATTATCTTTAAGGTATCATCTGCTGCCTGAACGAAATTCATCGCATTTCACTATTGAAATACTAGTTACCGAGTGTAAGAAATGTTCTTACATCAAAAAATTTGAGCAGATGAGGACATTCTTTACTTAATCGCGTTCGGAGGCGATGGGGGAAGTTCTTGATGAAAGTTGCTATGGCGACTGTCTTCGCAGCTGGGGTTGCCTGCGTCTCTGGCGCATTCACTGAAGCGGCGTTCCTTTGAAACAAGTTTGCACCCCGAAGCAAAATCTTCAGTAATTTGGGAGGTGCAGTCATAAGGAGCGAGCTCCCAAGAAGGTCTTCCGTAAACAGATTTTTCGTGGACACAACGGAAAATACTGAGGCCGATTAATATGGTCTTTGACGACATTTGTCACAATTGACCTGAATGACCCTGAATCACTTTCTTTATTGGAGATTCTCGACAGCTGCAATTTACCAGTCACTGTACATGTCATGTTATCTCATGACCAATGACGTAATCAATTTGAAGGGATTCACAAATTTACCGGAAGTAAGGCTGTTTTTCCAGCCGGGTACAAATTTACGTTTTATTGCCTCCGAAAATGTTTTTAAGCATTGGTAGAGGTTAACTGGAAATTTCAAAACCTTGCTAGATAAGTGTTTATGACTTAGTAATACCCAGTAATTAACAACAAACTATCGCCTTATTTATTTCTGCTCCCGGTTGCCGCTCTCATGTAGATACCGCATTCTGCCCCTTGTTCTCCCGCTTCCCTCCCTCTCCCGCCCCTTGTTCTCCCGAGCTCCAGCCCCCTGTCCCCCTCCACTGAAGTCGCTTACTCGATTTGACTAGCAACTAGAAGAAATTACCAAGAAAGTATGAGACTTTTTACATGAAAAAAGTTCATCTTTGCACCGGAGGTCACCTTAAAAAGAGTCCACATACTTTGCCGTGAAACTGTTAATATTTTTTACCCTCAGGTCAAGGATACAGCCCCAATTTCACTGGAAATTACTCGTTAAAGCCAGGTTCACATATGATCGCAGACGATCGCAGGCGATCGCACTCGATCGCCAGCGATCGCCAGCGATCGAGACCGCCTCCCAGTTAGCTCAATGGATAAAGCGCTGGACTGTTGTGCGGGAGGTTGGTTCGAGCCCCGGCCGGACCAACACTCAAGGTCTTAAAATAATTGAGAAGAATAT